GAAACGCCAGCTTCCCTGCTCCTCTGATGCTGCTTGGCCTGCTGTGTTCATCCAGCTCTACACCTTGTTATCTCTAATGTAAAAAGGAAACCCTATTCGTTCAGTGTTTATATGGGCTATATTGTGGTCAAAAGCAGTTATTTCTGTATTTTTTATCACAAATGCAAATGAATGACTAAACAGCTGTCTGGATATGAATGGGATCGAAGGTTTTCAGGAAAGACACATGAAAAGTTCTTAAAGGAGCACAGTAGAAAAATATTTCTGTAATTATTGTTCAGCCATTGATTCATCAATTCATTGCCACTGTCCACCTGCTAAAAGGAAGTGAGAAAGAACTTGCACTCAATGTCTTTTCTTTGAAGCATCTCAAGTGCTTTAGAGTCAGTGAAATATTTTTGAAGTGTATCACTGCTGTAGTTTAAGAATAGTAGCTACTTTGGGCACACAGCTCCCATAAATAACAACGTAACAACAACCAGATGGTCTGTTTTTAATAATGTTGAGTGAAAAATAATTACTAGCCAGGACACTGGGGATTATTCATTTGATCATGTTCAAAACTGCCACTGGATTCTCTATATCGACTTGAGAGGGACACAGTTCTGAGTTTCATGTGAAGGACAGATCATTATTCCTCAATTCTTGGTTGAATTGTTTGAGAACTCATGGAGAAAATCATATGAGCTTTATTTTCAAAGAATGTAGTATGTTATGCAGAATGTACTCTAGAAGAAGTTGTAAATGGTTTGTTGAGACAATGGATTTGATATGATAGAATGAGTGACCTTTGTCCATTCTGTACTTTCTGTTCTTGCCAATTTAAAAAAAAATTATACTACACTTTCCATAACAGTTTTGTTGAAACCTTTGATGCACAAACTGATCAAAGAAGAACTAACTAAATTCATGATCCTTTTGGGTCTTTATTAAAAAAAAAAATTGATATTTTGATAACTTATACCCATGTTTCTTGAATAATTAAACAGCTCTTGAGAGTTTCTAGTGACAACAGGGAATGTGTGATTGTTCGCCACTGACTAAAGTTGTTATAAAAAGCATAGAAACAATGCCTGGGGCTTGCTTTGATTTGTGCCTCTATGTACTTATGTTGCCATCATTAATGCAAATGTAACTCATTATAGAATCACTCTGTGACACTTTGTCTATTTAAAACTCTGGAATTTAAAGTGTACTTCCTCCTCTTATTCTTCTACAAGGTAGTACTTTGGGCTGATCATAAAGTTCAATATATAAAAAAACAATCTACTGCCATAGAATGGACTCCTTTGGCCTTTTTAACACTGTTGTAGTTTATGGTAGTATCAACAACAAATTTTAATATCATTCCTTCAGTTTCTTAGTTCAGATTATTTATAAACACCGAAATGTGAACAGTCCCACAAAACTTGCGTTGGAACAACACGTGGAAGAATTAATAACCTTTTACCCTTGACCTTTGTCCTTCACCCACCTCTATCAATGCAACCACAATTCCCTTTGTGTACATGCTATTGTAATGAGATTTTTCTGTATTTTTAGAGATGTTCCCTTTTGAATTTGACATTGACATCTGACCTTTGCCTTTTTAAATTCATTTGTTAGAAATGGGAATTGCTGCCTAAATCCCAGTTATTCTTGAGAAGATTGTGATGAGTTGTCTTGAATCACTGAAGCCTATGTGGTATAAGTGCACCCTCAGTATAAGGAGGGAGTTCCAGGAATTTGATTCACAGCAAGTTAGGATGGCATATGTCTTGGAGGGGGACTTGCAGGTGATGTTCCTATGTATCTGCTGCCCATGTTCTTCTATATGACGGAGGTTACGGGGTTGGAAGGCACTGTCTGAGGAGCCTTGATGAATTGTTGCAGCACATTTTTTTGAGATAGTTCGCACAGCTGCCACTGGCATCAGTGGCAGAAGGACTGAATGATGAAGGTGTGAGATGGGGTGCCAGTCAAACAGGCTGCTTTGTCCTGTACGGTGTCATGTTTTTTGAGGGTTGTTGGAGTTGTACATTTCCTGACAGATTTGGAGTATTCATCTCTCTCTTGACTTCCACCTTATAGATGGTAGACAGACTTTGAGGAGTCAGGAGGTGATTTACTCACTGTATCATTCTGAACCTTTGACGTGCTATTGTGGTTATGGCTAGTCCAGTTCAGTTTTTGAGTCAGGATATTGACAGTGGGAGAACCAGCAATAGTATTGCCATTCAATGTCAAGTGTGATGGTTGGATTCTCTCTTGTTGGAGATGATCATTCCCTGCCACTTTCTAGGGGTTAACTGTTATTTGCCATTTATTATCCCAAGTGAGACTGTTCTTTAGGTCTTGTTGTGTTTAGACACTGACTTTCTCAGTACCGGAGGAGTTATAAATTGTGCTGAACATCGTGCAATCATCAATTAAAATCCCTGCCTTATGAAGGATGGAAGGTCATTGAAAAAGCTGAAAATGGTTGGGCCAAGATGCTACAAATTTGATTAATTCTTTGGAAGAGGTGACCAAGAAGATAGATGAAAACAGACCAGTAGACATTGTCTACATGGACTTTAGCAAGGCCTTCGACAAGGTCTGCACACCGAACTGGTTAATAAGTTTAGATCATATGGAATCCAAGGAAAGCAAGCCAGATGGAATCGAAATTGGCTTGATGGTAGGAGACCGTGGGTGGTGATCAAGGGTTGTTGTTTGGACTGGAGGCCTGTGATCAGCTGTGTCCCATGAGGATTGGTGCTGAGTCCACCATTGCTAATCGTTTGTATAAACGAATTGTATGAGAATATAAGAGGCATGTTTAGTAAGTTTGCGGATGACACAAATATTGGTGGTATAGTGGACAGTGAAGAAGGTTATCTAAGAGTACAAAGGGATCATGAACAATTGGGCCAATGACATTTAGATAAATGCGAAGTGTTGTATTTTGGTAAGACAAAGTGGGGCAGGGCTTGCACTGTTAGCACCCTGGGGAGTGTTGTCAAATGGAGAGACCTAAGGGTGCAGGTACATAGTTCCTTGAAAGTGATATCACAGGTAGACAGGGTTGTGAAGAAGGCATGTGACATGCTTGCCTTCATTGATAAGAACAATGATTCGAGGAGTTGGGACATCATGTTACAGCTGTAAAAGACTTTGGTGAGGCCACATTTGGAGAATTGCACACAGTTCTGGTTGCCCTCATAGGGGAAGGCTGTTATTAAACTAGAAAAGGTGCAAAATGGCTTTATAAGGGGGGGGTTCAGAGACTGGAAGGTTTGAGTTGTAATGAGAGGCTGGATAGACTGGAACTTTTCTCCCTGGAGTGCAGGGGACTGAGGGGGTGACCTCAGAGATTCATAAAATCATGTGGAGCATATGGTGAATTGCCAAGGTCTTTTCTCCAGGGTAGGGGTCTCCAAAACTGGACAGCATAGGTTTAAGGTGAGAAGAGAAAGATTTAGAAGGGACCTGAGGGGCAACTTTTTGGGTGATGTGTATACAGAATGAACTGCCTGAGGAAGTGGTAGAGAGGGGTACTATTACAACATTTAAAAGACATTTGGACAGGTACGTGGATAGGAAAGGTTTAGAGGGACATAGGCCAAATGCAGGAATATGGAACTAGATCAGTTTAGGAAGTCTGTTTGGTATGAACAAGTTGGGCTGAAAGGCATGTTTCCGTACTGTGTGACTCCGTCAGAGGATCTCCTACAGTGAGTTGTGTGGTTGAGATGATTGATCTCCAGTCATCACATGCAAAGTACGACTCTAAACACACGGATCCTCTCCAATTCCTGTTAGTTCTATTTAAAAAATATTCTGTCTTTATTTCCTATCAAACAGAGTAATTGGTGCTTTTTAACATTATTTTCCAACCACCATTTACCCCATTCGTTTATCCTGTCCAAAATCTCATGAAGCCTCCTTGCTCTATGATCACAATTTGTGTTCCCCCGCCTCATTTGGTGTGATCAGCAATACTGGAAATATTACAATTGGTCCCCACGTCAAAATCACTTGTATAAGTTGTGAACAACTGTGGACTTGAAACTGATCCTTGCAGCATTCCAGTAGTAACAGCCTGCCATCCTGAGAATGATTTCATTTATTCCCATTCTCTGCTTTCTGTCTTTTAACCAGTTCTCACTCTGCACTAGTTTATTTCTCCCAATTCCATGCAGTCTGTTTTTACTAACCTCCATATCAAAAGCCTTCTGAAAATCCAAATGCATCAATCCACTGGTTCTCTGTTAACAATTCTATAATTCAAAACACTCCAACAGATTGTCAAACAGAATTTCCTTTTCTTAAATCCATCTGCTCAACTGGACATTCAGAAAAGAATGGTAAAATTATCACATCGTTTATAATAGATTTACACCTTTTCCCTACTATTAATGTCTGCACTTCCCCACGCTTCCTCCATTCTTAAGTAGTTTCCAGAACCATTCCAAAATCTATATGCCATTGTATTTACTAGCTCTCTAACTGCCACTTTTATCCCAGGGGATTTGTCAACCTTCAATTCAGTTAGTGTTTCAACTACAGTCTCCTGACTGATGTTATTTTCTTCTGCCATTGTTGTAGCCCATATGTAGGATAGCACTTTGTTCCCTTTAGAGAAGGGAAAAATTGTCGTAAAAAACCTATCCGAGTCCACTAATCGACACAAAGTCATCATCAGATGAGCTTTTAATTCCAGATTTATTAATTGAAGTCCAATTTCACCATCTTTTCTCCGGGTATTTGATCCTTGCTCCCAGGGCAATAGCCTAGGCCTGTGGATTATGAGTGAATTGACAATACCACCATATGCAACAAATGTATAAGAAAGCAAGCCAGCTCATCTTTCATTGTGAGGATGACCTGTACCTTTCAACTGATGCACTAAGAAACTGAGAATTTGGTCGTTCATTTACTTTTGTTTGGGAAATATTTTAGTTCACTAACATGATGGGAATGTAATATCAGTTTATCTGCAGGTGATCTGTAGAATAGGCAAAATATTTATACAGATGAGCAATGTGAACTGGTCCACATTCTAAACTGGACATATTTCAACTTGGCAGTTGCAATTATGGAAAGAATATTGATCCATTAAAACCTCTTGCTGTTCTGCTCAGAATGTGGTATGACCTGAGCTTTTTCATTGTTCTAATGCACGTTGCTTTTTGTTAGGTTCACATGGAGGTTTGAACATTGCTCAACAAACTGCCATCGCGACAGGAGAGTGGGGATTGCCAAACTCTAGTGGAAACGCAGGGCCCAATACTATGATCAGACCAGGCTCAGACTATAGTTCATCTATCCAAAGAACTATGGTGGGTAACTCCTCACTTGGAATGCAGATGCGGTCCAATGGACAAACTAGTGCGAGAGCATTGCTTCAGCAACAGATGATGGGATTGAGTAAGTTTTTCTACTCTCCCTTTCTTCCTACCTTTCAATTTAAAGTCTGTCAGAAATCAAAATATCACAATTCTCTGCTTTGATTGAAGAATAGGGTAAAGCTTATTGAGTTTAAGACTGACCTCTAAAGTCAGTTTGATTGCTCCATCACTCACTCCTATATCCTTTAATAACTGTGCACTTTTATAACAGTTCTATGATAAGAGCAGTTGGTTCACTCCTGTTTTCATTCTTAAGAATTACTGGATGGTGTTGTTGTTACAATGCAATTTTTCTATCCAAAGCAAATCTGTAAAATTATTTTTTGAATTTATAATTAACTAGGCTGAGGAATAGTTTGGGTTCAACCATACTCCATTAATCTGCCAATGCTTTCTGTGTAGTCTTAGACAGAAAGAATGGCTCCTTCTGGGGTTTTGGAAGGTGTTTATGAATGACTGAAGCATACATCAAAGAAAGCAAACATTGATGAGAGAATTTTAAAATGAGGACCAGGTCTAATATGGTCTTTGTCTGCCTTGATGACATGGGTCATGCTGTTGGAAATGACAGTGTGAATGCAAGACACAAAGAGAAGCAAAGAAGAAAAATTTCAGCCCTACCTGAACTGTTTTTAACCTGCTTCTATGAGTTTGAGCTGTATTGGTAGAGGCAGAGGAGCAGATCACAAATGCACTCTCTTGGCTGGAGATTTTTAGGCAAAATTCTGATTAAAAGTTTGCAACATATTTTGCTTTATCATAAGTGTTCTCTTATTACCTAGGACCTTCAGAAATGGATATGGGTCTTGGAGGTCCACAGTTTGCACAACAGCAAGGTCCAACCAATCCAGCTACATCATGGTCAGAGAGTGTTCTTCAGATGGACCAAGGTTCTTCAGGCAACCAGAGCAGGTTAGCTTGTCAGTTATACTGAAAAAATGGTTGGTTGTCCTATTTAAGTTTATAACGCTGATTCATATTTACATTGGAATGAGCTGGTCTTTTTTTTCATGGCTTCTTCACTTCAAGCGTTCCCAGGTCAGATATGGGATTTGGGGGTACTGTCTGGAACTGCCCAAATTTAATTCATGGTTGACAAAGTGTGATGCCACAATTTGGGTCCGTCCCAACACACTACACCAACCACCCCAAATTTTACCCATTTTGAGTAGATATTAAGGTAAAGAAGTACAAGTGTGGTTATGGCTGGTGTCAGATAGAAAATACAATTAAAAGCCAAGAGGAGTACAGAACGTTCAGAGTTACGGTGAAAAAGCATACTAAAGAAGCAAAGAGGAACTGAAAGAAAATACTATTACCTAACAGAAAGTGGTATCCCAAAGTCATCTACAGGAGTATAAATAGGACAGTAAAAGGTCTCGGAGAACCATCAGGCTGCTGCCTCATTAGAAAGGGAGGCCTGGAGGTGAATTTAACCTGAGGGTCACCACACTTCAAACGAGGGGTGAGGTTGAGAAGCTGGGACCTTTAATAAAAGATTGGTGAAAGGATGAATACGGCTGATTAGAGGTAATTTACAATGGAAGCAGGGCATACCTGCGATATTAAATCACGGCTTTCTATCTGTCTTTACCAAGAAAATAGTTGCTTCCCCAGCCGTGGTGACAGAATAGGAAACACTGTCACTAGAAGGGTTCAAAATTGATCAGGAGGAAATTTTGGTTAGACTCTGTCATACTTAAAGTTGACAAAGCGCTGAGATCAGATGAGATGAATCCAAGGATATTCGCAGAAACGCAGCTGTGTTAGTAATGCAGGAGGAGGTCATTTGGCACATTAGTTCTTCAAATGAGTGCAAATACCTACAGCCAATTTCCAGCTTTATCCCTACATCCTTGCATCTTATTTCTATCCACGTAATTGTCCAGTACCCTCCTGAATGCGTTAGGTGAACTAGGCTCCACCACACTACTTGTGCAGTCAAGACTGTATGTTTTTTTTTGTGAGTTGCTCTATATCTTTGCCCTCTTGGAGGGCAACTTAGAATCACTATGCTAACAGTTTTCTCTCCTTCCTTCTGTGGCAAGTTTCAAACATCCATTTAATGCTCCCCTCTGGTTGAATGACCGAAAGTGGAGCTAGGGAACTTCGCCTATGTTGTGGTGTCCTGAAGATCAGTGCTTCCCAAACTTTTTCCCACTGGAACCCCAATTTGGGGCTTGAAAATCATTGCAACTCCTTAGCAAGCAGCAGGGGTTCCCACTTTGTGAAGTTCTTCTGTAGCATAATAGTGTGTAATTGCAGTGTTTTCATTTTCAAAGTATCCTATGAAAGAAAGATAATTCCAGCAACTGAAACTACTTGTCGGCCTCTCAAGTACTAATTCCCACAGGAGTAGGCAATGAATTACTATTTGCTCTCAGAAAGAACCTATATAGACACAGTAGGTCAAAGTGGCTTTTTATTTTTATTCACTCATGGCATGTGGGAGTCTCTGCCTGGCCAGCATTTATTGTCTGTTCTGTAGCAAAAGTTTCTCTACTCTAAGTATCTGAGCTGCTGATGTGATAAAACTAGCAAAACTGACCTCAGTGATTCATTAATGGCCAAAGGGATTGAAGATGCTGTTCAAAGTCTCTGGATTCGTATGTAATAAATTAACCATGTATGCTATTCCCTACTTCTCCATCTTAATTAATGATTGTTATGAATCTCTTCTGTTTGTACCTGCAATAATGCATTTGGCTGGTAATATGATCTGTTACAGGCAGCCATTTGGGAACTCCCTGGATGATCTTCTTTGCCCTCCCACTACTGCAGAGGCTCAGAATGATGAGAAAGCTCTACTGGATCAATTAGACACACTGCTGAGTAATGCAGATGAAATAGGCCTGGAAGAAATTGACAGGGCATTAGGAATTCCAGATCTTATCAGTCAGGTATCAGAATCAAACCCTTGTTTTGTATTTTTCTTTTATTGCCTTGATACTGTTTTGGTAAGAGATATGAGAACTGGGGAATGGTAAATACTAGTTTGTACACCCTGCTGCCATTGAACAGTCTTATTGTTGGGTACTTCATGACTAGATGCAGATTGCACCCATCAATGTAGTAACCTCGTCCCAGAAAAGCAACTCAGTGGCACAATTCACTGACATTGCAAAATTAGAGAGAAATTCTGGTGAATCTATCTTTTTGGTAGCATGTGTTGTTATGCAAAGCAGTAAATTGTAAAAATAAATTAGCAAGTAGTTGGAGCTTCCCAATCTCTGTTAAGTGATCAGTGGATTAGATTGCCTTCATGTTTTTTTTGAAAAAAAAAGCTTTCTTAACTTTAGAGATGCTGTTTTGGCAAGTGATGCGGGACAAAATATGAATGTATTTACTCCCTCAAAATGGCCTCATTTTATCAAAGTTATCAATGTCGTGGAGAAGTATATTTGAAAATGTGGCTGACCAAACTTGCTATAAGGTGCCGGATCTTGTCCTGTCTGTGAAAAGTGCTGTGCATCTTTGTTTATTGTATCAGAGTGCACAAAAAAATTCTGACAATGACATTTACTCTACTTAAATGCTCCCCAAAAAATTAAGATTGCAATGGAGAAATTGGAAGATTTGCTACTGTATTCAGTTAGAGATTGTGGGAAGAGGTTGGACTTCATTTTGCCAGTTCCTATACTCAGAAAATGGGAGCCAGATATAGCCAAATTGTGGAACTGTGTCTCATGTTCAGGGGAAAGGTAAATGCATCTAATGCTATATTGACTCTAGTGAAATTTGGAGATTTTTTTTGCCAAATCTCTTCATTAGATCTCGAGGTTCTTTAAATAAAAGATAGCTGTCTTCCATAAGATCCATTCTCCAAAATTGTTTTGAAATTAGAGGATACTTGCACTGCACATCATCCATCTAGTTTTAAAGGCTGCTTACTGTCAACCTGTTTGCTCTCTTCTTAAGATTAACTTGACAGTCATTATCAATAGGCAGGTTTGTTAATCTTACTCTAAACGTGAGCTGCAAACTGCACCAGGATGCCCATATAATAGGGCCATTGGTCTAATTTCAGGGCATCCTTAAGGAAAGGGTTACATTGCTCCTCCTGTTTCGTGCCGTAGGTTGAGAATTAACCAATTTCTCATCTTTGGTTTCTATGAAAATGGCTAACTAAACCAAGTCAATTAAATCGTTCCTTTTATTTGTCCTGTAAAGTTTTCTTTAGCATTCTTTTTGCAAACTGTCAAATGTTCATGTGAAGGCCGTTTTAAGTCAGCCAAGAAGTTTCACTGTTGCATTCCAGTTTTGGATATAACTTCTACTTCATACGTGAAAGTTTGTGAAAAGAAAGATTAGGAGGAACTGGGTCTACAGACCTGGGATAGTGGCAGTAATAACAACTTGAAATAAAGAAAGTGAACTTGTTAAAGAAAGTAGAGATGAGCATTTTCAATATTTTGTTAAAGCTTTACAGAATGAATTGGATTAACCCTAATTATTTTTGCTGCCTAGGCTCAACCTCTTGAGACACACTCTGAACTGTTTTCAGGCCAGGACTCAACCATGATGTTAGAACAAAAAGCTATTTATGGTCAATCATTTCCATCACAGCCTGGCCCAGTGCAGGGATGCTATCCGCCCATGCAGGGCCAGCAACCAGGCTTTAACCCCATGATGAATCAAATGGGTCAGCAAGGCAGCTTCCCTCTTCCCAACATTCATGCTAGAGCAAACTTTGCCCGGCATCGCATGATGAATGCTTCTGCTCCCATGCAACTTAGAATTCAACTTCAACAAAGATTACAAGGACAACAGCAGGTAAGTGCAGCTTGCATGGTGAGTTATTTTATTAATTTGAAAATGTACTGTTTTTATTTGAACTTTTCCAAAGTGTAAGTATGAATGTATAAATGGAAGGAACAGGCTGAATGTTTGCATGCCAGATGTATTGGCAATGTGTTTGAATCAGAATTAAAAAGGCATTTAAATTTGTGTTTTGAAGCTTATGAATCCAAACCGTCAGTCCCTTGGAGTCAAACTAGAAAATCCAAGTACAGTCAATCCAGCTCTCCGACCAGGCATACCACAACAAATGCTAGCGCAGGTAAGTGGCCACTGCTTATCTTGTACTTTTGATATATTTATTTGGTGTAAGAAGGTTTTGAAGGGTTAGAATGTGTGACATCATCCATTGCGAGTCTTCGATGGAGACAGACCTATCTCAAGAACCTTGCGTTTTATAGTTGATAGTTGGTGACAAAATAACTAATGTTTAAAATACAGAAGCCTCAGCATTTTTACTAGTTAGATGAGACTACTTAACTTAGAACAATTTCTGTGTTAAATGCATTAAAATGATTTTCCTGTATAGGCCAGATTTTTGAGCTGTAGTGTTGTGTAACTCATAAGTCCTCATGAAGTGTGGATTCGTTTTCCTTGAGTTCAGAATGCATAATATATATTCTGTCTGAGGTTGGGATATAATGAATTTGCTGAATAAATTTCTAATGACTGCTAACCAAAGCTTTATCTTTTTGATGTGCACTTGTTGACATATGTGAATCCTTTTAATGTTTTTACATTGCTGCCTATGTGCAGTAATTTAAAAGGGCTGATCTAAGCACATGCTACATATGGACTTCTGGGTTGCTTAGCAATCACAAAGCAAAAGAGAACATTGCTTCTAACCTACCTTAAGTAATTACTGCAACCTTATTACACATTTCCGTCTTCTTGCTTTTCATGAAGAACAAGATTAGTTTTGGATCCAAAAAGTATAATTTCCAGTCACTTGATATCATTGCTAAACAGGAGACATGAGAATCTTGGGGAGATGGTGAAGATTACAGCAATTACAAAAGTATAATGACACCAGTGTATACAGCAAATGAAGCAGTTATTTCTCTTCTTCAAAGGCTGGAAGAACTTATTCTGTTATTGGAGTGTATTTTAGTGAGTGCAGTCACTTTGTTTTAAGCAAATATCTCTGGGCAGCTTCATTAGCCCACAATATTAATATTATTGTTGTACCATGCAAAAGCCAATCCAGACAGTCCCAGAGTCATCTAATCTGGCCTTGCGAGAACTAAATTTGGATCAGTTATAGAATGCTTTTTTTCTTGGAGTTTGTCTTTAGTAATGATTACTGTTGAAATCATTCAATACTTGGCATAATTTAAGTTGAAACGTAAATCAATTGATCACGTTCCAATCCTAATTAATTGTCTGTAGATGATTGTGGGCTGTTTGTCTTCTGTACTCATTTGTAGGGTTTTCTCAATGCACAGATGGTGGCCCAGCGGCAGCGAGAGTACCGGAGCCAACAACTTCGCCAAAAGCAGATAATGCACCGAGCCATGCTTATGCGACAGCAGCAACAACAGGGCTTCAGTCCTCCACCTAATGTAACGGCTCCCACAGGCATGGAAGGTTCTATGGGAGTTCCTCAGATAACCCCTGCATCACCACAGCAATTCACGTACCCTCCAAATTATGGTATAAAATTCAAGATTGCAAAGTTTTCTAATTTTATTTTGCCTTTCAAAAGTACTTTATCTCAAAAACTTTTGTCACCTGTCCTCCTCCTTGTCATCCTCCTCCTCCAAATGTATCTGACAACTATGTTTGATACGTCACTGTTGGATGTTCCAGTATCAAAATACCTACAGAATGATGAACATATGGGGAAAACAAAATAATTTAGACTCTGGTGGTTGAGTTACACCAAATTCTGAAAGTGATTCTTGTGGAGTTTATCTGCCACTGAAACCCATGCCTTTGTTACCCCCATACCCGATAATTATAATGTTCTGTGGCTTGGCTTGCACCCTAATCCTCCAAAAGAACTCATCTATAGTTCTGCACACATCATAACTTAGAATGTGTATCATTTCCCTGACATCCCATGCCTGCTGACCTACATTGGCTCCTGTTCATCAACACTTGGAATTTTAAATTCCAAGCCTCGTGCTCAAATCCCTTCATAGCCTCGCCCTCTGTCTCTGCAACCTCCTCCATCACTTTAATCTTCTGTGATCTCTGTGATACTCCTCTAAATCTATCCCCTGACATGCCTGTTAACTCTGTTAGAGGCTGTGTTTATTGCTGTCGAGATCATAACATTTAGAATTCATTAAATGCCTCATTACCTTCCCATTATACCTTTTTAAGTTGCTCCTTGTAACCTGCTTTGTTGACCAGGTTTTTGGTCATTTGTCTTGACATCTCTGTAACTCAGTTCCAAATTTTGTCTGACAGCACTGTGAAGTGCCTTGAAATACTTTGCTACATTAAATATTTTGCACAGTAGAGGTGCAGGTTGTTGTTGAAGTCTGCCCTATTCTTGAGCAATTTAAGTTTTGTTGGTATCATGTCTTCTGTGCTTAATTTCATTGCATATGTTTTAATCTGCATTCAAAAATTCATTATCTTAATACTGATCTAAACATTCTCTACTCATTTTAAATTTTCCACTGGTCTTCCACTATTTCAGGTTTAATTTTACTTTCTCAAGTGGTTTTACCTTCTTTTGGCTGAAAATCTGTTGAGTTGAACAATGGTTTCATTTCTCCTTCTCTGACATCTCTTCAGTTGCTTCATTGTTTGATTAGTTTAACTTCATTTTTCTCAGTTTCCTCAATACATATTCTCTGTTGCTATTCTTGTATCTTGGCCTTTTTGACCATGTTTCAGTAAATAAGAACTTTGTAACATTTAATCTCCAACTAAGAGCTTCAGACATGCCTGGAGTGGGATTTTTGAAATATGCCAATATGCTACTTGGTAAATTGTGGGCAATGTAATTTTTATTTTCACATGACCTGAGATCTAGCAATGACCTTCAGCCATACAGATGACCAAACCAAGAGATGAGATACTGCAGCTAGCTTCAGCATTTTCAAGGGGGGAAAAATCCACCTGGCTCCTCATTAGTGATCAATATCCATTAATCTTTCGCTGCACGAAGTGCTTGTGCGGACATATGGGAAAGACTGAAGCATCTCAGAGGTGATCTCCATCTCAACCTGGGCACATTCAATTAGCGTGTTAACTTTTATTGTCAAGGCAAGCACAAGAAGAGTCTTCCTGTGAACAAGATATAGGAGGGCCACCATTGCCTGAGATCTTTATTTCAGTAAGTCCAAGATTGGGAAAGGCTTCAGAAAAAAGGGAAAACTGCCAGTTTCATTCTATTAATACATTGATATATCCTTGTCATGGGAGTGCTTTTACATAGTGGATGGATAAATTTATGTAAATACTGAAAATTTGACATTATTTGGTTTTGGTGGTTGATCCTTCATTAGTTGAGAATTAACTCTTGTTCTTTTTATTCAGCGATGAATCAACAACCTGACCCAACTTTTGGCAGGGCTCCTAGCCCCCATAATGCACTCATTTCAAGAATGGGGCCTTCACAGAATGCAATGATGCAGCACCCTCAGGCAGCTTCTGTCTACCAAGCAACCACTGACATGAAGGGATGGTCCACAGGAAGCATGGGTGGAAATAGGTATGCTACAATGAAGCCGTTATTAATTCATACATGTGAGCTCTGAGGAGCCATAAATCTTTACCGCCTTGTAAAGAGATATCATTGAGAGCTTTATAGCTGCCGTGTTGGTTCCAACCATTTAATATATAGTTTATAGTAAAAACAAACAGCAGCTCTGGCAGCATCTGCAGAATGAAAAAGAGAGTTAACATTTCAAGTCCAATATGATTCTTACTTGGAACATATATTTATAATATTTAATACAGTATATCTACATTGCCTGCCTGGAATGTGCTCGCTTCTCTTTGTATATGTTGTAAAACTTTTCTCTCAGCAACTATATTTTAAGCATTCAGATATTTTATATGTGAGAGTGGCAATGTCTTTATTCTACTTTGTTTAAATTTATGGCAGCAATAAATGCACATGCCTCAAAGGATTCTTTAACCATGCATTAAGACTAGTTTGAGTTTCATACTGCTGTTTTTCTTTTGTTTCACTCTTCTTCCCCACAGAGTTGGGTTGAGCCCTGACTTGAAATGTACTTTGCAACTTAAGAGTCACTGCGAAGCACAAACCATGTTGTACTGTTACCACATGTAATTTGAGCACATCCTGACAGTTATAGAGTAGAGATAGTAAAATTAGATCAATATATTTGAGAAATGCTCAAATAATAAGCTATGAAGGACAGATATCAGTAATTATTTCTTTACGTAGATGCACAAAAGCTGGAACAGTAGCTAATACTGACATATTGAACTACCTCAGAAATTCCTAGTTGTAATGGGAAGAGAG